GGGGGTGGGGGAGGGCCTGGCTGGGGGGTCGCTGCGGGCGTGGCTGTTCTGAGACGCCCCTTTCTCAGGACCTGGGGACGCCCAGTGAGAAGATCTGGCCCGGCTACAACGAGCTGCCCGCCGTGAAGAAGATGACCTTCACCGAGTACCCCTACAACAACCTGCGCAAGCGCTTCGGAGCGCTGCTCTCCGACCAGGGCTTCGACCTCATGAACAAGTGAGCCACTGTGGGGGCGGGGGGTGGGCGCCTTCCCAGCCCTCCCAGGGCTCCAAGCGCCTTGTTCTCCCAGGTTCCTGACCTACTTTCCCGGGCGGAGGGTCAGCGCAGAGGACGGCCTCAAGCACGAGTATTTTCGCGAGACCCCCCTCCCCATCGACCCCTCGATGTTCCCCACGTGGCCGGCCAAGAGCGAACAGCAGAGGGTGAAGCGCGGCACCAGCCCGAGACCCCCTGAGGGAGGCCTCGGCTACAGCCAGCTGGTGAGGGGCGGGCAGGCAGGGGGGACGGTGTGGGGGGTGTCCCTGGGATTAGCTGGCCCGGCCAGGGCCCCACGGTGCCGCTTGCCTCCCCAGGGTGACGATGACCTGAAGGAGACCGGCTTCCACCTCACCACCACCAACCAGGGGGCCTCGGCCGCAGGCCCTGGCTTCAGCCTCAAGTTCTGAGGTTCAGCGTGGACCCCAGAAGCAGTGGGACCAGGGGCAGGAGCGGAGACAGCCTGTGGGTCAGACCCGCGTCTTGCCCAGAAGACAGGCTGCTGCGGCCTGGGCTGCAGTGAAGTGGCCTCAAGTCGAACTGCTGGCCTTGTTTTCCATGTTTTGTTTGTCTTGGCTTGTAAATTTGTAGAATTAAATCTTATTTCCTTGTGGAAGAAAAGGCTCTTTTTTCAGATTTATCACACTTGCCACATGAGGAGGGGAAGCCAGTGCCGAGGGCACAACCGCACACGCACGCGGTCAGATCCTGGCTGTGGTTTCAGTTTCTAATCTTGAGGCTCCTGCGTGGGCGCCTCCTGCCCTCAGCGGGCACCCATAGCCCAGCGCCCACAGCTGGGCACGCAGCCTCAGTGAATTGCGTACGAGGTGGTCACACCTTTTAAGACGCGGTGAAATGTTGGAGGGAGCGCTGGTGTGTCTGGCCCTGCGCTGGCCCCACAGTCGGGGACCAAATGGTTGGTCTCTGGCCCCACGTGGGCCGGCCTCTCCCTGCCTCCAGCTCCTGCCCTAACTGGACTGGGCCTGGCCCCAGGCACCCCAGGTCCTGCGGGGCCCGGTCTAGATGGCCCCACCCCCCAAGAAAGGGCGCAGAGACGTCAGACAGAAAACCTTTATCAGCGCCGCGCTCAGGGGCGCACGCGCACGCGCCAGGAGTAGGTGGTGAGCACGCGCTGCCGCCGGCGCACCACGCAGGTGTAGGTGCCCTCGTTGATGGCGTTGGCGATGATGCTCAGGTGCGCCTCGCCCAGGGCCAGGTACCCGGGGTAGGAGGACTCCAGCGGCTCCTGGTCCTTGTACCAGCTGCGGGGGGCGGGGATGCTGAGTGGGGGGACCCTAGCCCGCCGCCCCTCGCCCCGGGCGGGTCACTCACTGCACTTTGCCTTTCTTGTGCAGGATCTTCTGGCCGCAGCGGAAGGTCACGTTCCTGCCCTCCGACACCAGCCGGGTTTTGGTCCTGGGGGGCGGCGCGGTGGCGGCCACGGTGGGGAAGGGGAACTCTGCCC